ACATCTTTGTCATGCTCAGCCACCTTTGGCTGCTGTTCAAGGTCATTAAGTTGGACCGACTTGACATCATTGCAATGCTTTGACTTCTTTGGACGCTTCCCATGGTCTTTCATTTTTAGCTCATCCATATTTATCTTTCTTTCTTCCACTGTAATGGTGTCTCTTGAAAGTTGGACCGACTTGACATTATCATGCTCAGCCACCTTTGGCTGCTGTTCAAGGTCATTAACTCGGGCCGACTTGACATCATTGCGATGCTTTGACTTCCTTAGACTCTTCCAAAAGTTTGTCATGTTTAGGTTATACATATTTATCTTTCTTCCTTCCACTGGTGTCTCTTGAACGTCCTCAATAACTAGTTTGGAGAATTAAAGTCTGGGGTATAGAGTTTTTTTGCCTCTGATTTACCTTTCTTCGTCCCACTGTAGGCTAGTACTGGTGTCTCTTCAACGTCCTCAATAACTAGATTGGAGAAGTAGTCTGGGGTCGGTAGGCTATATAGTTTATTTTCCTTTGATCTGGACAAATTGTTGTCTTTCATCTCTTTATGACGTCATGCCGTTCTATAGTCTGTTTCTGAACTAACGTTTTGCCTTTGATCTTGACGAATCACGTGTGACGTCATTCTATGCGCCAGCTGTGGCCGTTTGGAGACCGAATGCGTCACCGCGGCTGCGACGAGGCTGTCCCATGAATACAGACATATTTAAATGCTGAAATAAATAAATATAATAGTAAATAAATGCTGAGATGAATAAATGAAAGTTGATACTGTAACAGACTGTCTCATGTTTGTCGTTCTGGTGTTGACGATGATATGTCCCTTGAGGGTTGCCGTAGCGAAGGCGCAACTCCCGCCTCTGGCCAAAGGAGAAAACAATAATAAAGAGAGTAGCCGTGGGCTGACACAAGATATCTGGTCTCCCGACTCCAGTTATTACTGTATGATAAGTGCCCTTATACACGAACCCAAGACGCTCGGTTACAATACCTAAACGGGACGTAAGTAAATAAATACATTTCTGTATTCCTTCATTTATTTATTTCTGTGTCCGTATGTTAGTGATGTAGGCGGTCCGAACCTCATTCTTAAGCAGGATTGATCGAGTAGGGGAGCAAGACAGAAGCAACCGATTCCTAGCAAATCATCCCTGTGGACGACGTCAAAAACTAGCTAGCAGCACTCAAGGCTTCGACCGGGCGGCCGCTGGCAGACCTGCGGGTTGTGGCTGACCAGCTTGAGAACTGTGAGTTTCTTCTGTTTAAACGTATAAGCAGCATAACAGCAGTTGTTTAGCTAAATACTGTTGGTCAAAGTGCCAATATACTCTATTAAACTGAACTAGGCAGCCATGTGGCGTTCACTGCTTTATTTTTTTGTGCAGCACCGAGGACCGCAAACGAGCTAAGTTCACCTCCGCGGCCGAAACATAACGTAACACCCAGGCACCCAGTGGACGGTTGGTTTCTGCGGCCGCAACATAACGTAACACCCAGTGGACGGTTGGTTTCTGCAGGGAACACTTTTCCATGCTAAATCCCTTGTGTAGACTAAATCACTATCGCGGTGATGAGTGATTCATTTATTCATGCTGTGCGTCAGATCACATTCCTGTAAAGTGTGCGATGATATCGTTAGCCAACATGTTTCGTCTGCAACGTTCTTATGTTCTTGTACTGATTATAGCTTATCCTCTTCACTTGATTCTAGCCGAGGTTGCAAGACTGTTTGGTCCATACTTTGGAGGGAGAAGGACGACAAGGAGGCGAACTGTTGCTGCGCCCGCACAACTTCATTCGTACACTCACTCTTTCTGTTGTATTGAGGATAAAAATGCGGCCTTAGTCCCCAACCGACACGCCAGAGGTAGACTTGCTGCTGCAGGACTAGGGGAAAACGTCTTACATTCCAAGGTAAGTCAGGCATCATGATGGACAGACGCATCTTTCTTGAATTAAGTTACCTTTCAAAAACATCAAACGTTATTATATTTCAAGTTAGATCGGTTGTTTGGATTATTATCCTCTATTTTCAGGTAGTCATACAGATCCAGATGACTTTAGAGAATTTATTTTAGAGGCATATCCAAAACTCAGACAAGGGGGAGGATTTGAGTTGCTCAAAATCTCTGGAACAACATGGTCGCCAACTGATCATCATACCATGTCCCAATGAGGGTTACCATGTGAGACATTTAAAAGATCCACAAACACAGATTGGTCATGCTACAATTTTCATCCGACCACTCCAAAGAAAGCTGAATCTGGAACGCTGTAAGATCCTCACTTTTAAATTGGTGTTCCCATATGAAAATGGCAAGAGTATGAATATTTACATAAGTATAGCTTGTGTTACATTTTAAAATGATCTTGTTTACAGGCATGTCAACCAGAATGCAGTAATGAGCTAGTTGGACCACCTCAGAAATGTGACGTGTGGAGAGGAGTTCCCTTTTACAAGAATCAAGGCTCCCAGTGATGAATGCGTGAGGTATTGCTCTACAGAACTAAAACATCACATTTGTCAAGCACTCAAGTAGTCGTACATCAGACATTAAGCATTAGGCTCTGGAGTCTGCCAAAAGATATAAAGCATTTTGAATGTGGATGATCCTGAATATAGGTCTTGAGGGAAAGTTTAATTTGAATGGATTTATTCTATTCTATTTATATGACCATTCTTTTCTAGTTGGTGTTTTTGTGAATGTAATGTACTATAAAATATACTGGCCCCAATAACAAAACGTGCTTCTCTTTACCCAAGACCATCACAGAACAGTGGTGAGGTAGAAACTGTGGTGACAACAGACAAGTGCCTCCCGAAGTGAAGGTAGATTTGTGAGCATGTTGACAAGGCTACAAGTGAGACAACAAGGGCCAGCAACACAAACTACTGCGTGCCACCTCTCAGGGACATGTGGCTGCTCCTGAGATAGTTGACCTAGATCCCACTGAGGAGAGAGGCTTCCCAGGTGTGTTACATCATTTAAACATTACATTATTTATTGCAATAAATTCTTGCTCTCTAAATATCAATTCATCCAGTATTAATTGGAATCATTTAAAAACTCTTTTTAGATTGGAAAATTCTTTCAAATCCCAGTGAGGCAGCAAAGAGATTCAAAGAAGACATTTTAAGCCGGCATGCAACTGGAAAATCATTCTATCTTACCATGGATCTTGGAGACAGTGCAGAGGACAGTCCTTTCTTTTTATAAGAGGGCTAATGTTGAGTAGGCTTGCCCCTTGACATGCACACTCGAGGGTAAATTGGTTACACACGCAAAACTAAAGATAAAAAACGATCATATATTCATTTAACTGATGTCTGTACTGTGTATTTTGCTTTTTCAGGAGATCCAGCAATTGGTGATGGCGTGACTCGCTGTTTCTTTGCAAGCATCATGTCCAAACTTCAGTATGGTTTCGAGATGAATTTTGGTAAGTGAATATTCACTTTGGCTGATGGCTGGTTGTCAGCTATCGGGCTCTGTGTTTGGTTTGCACCAGTTCCAGGCTGAAAACGGATCTGTCTCTACTTACCCAGAGAATACCTAAAACCTTAAAAAACAAACAAATGTGACGCAGCTGCTGTGGCTCTGTAGGTTTCTACAGGATCACCCAAAGTATTCAGTGGCTGATTGATATTTCCTTACTAATTCTGTATGAAAGTTTGGATATCTATGTCCTTTACATTCTGCACTATCAATGTTCTTTCACTTTTCTCTTTTAATTGAAGTACCAGGAGGAAATCTACTTTTTGAGGGGGAACAAGATCATCTGATTCCCTCCACTTGGCATTACCTTTTGGAGAGTGACTTCTTTGTTGTTGCTGGCCGAATGATTGGTCATTCATTCCTCCATAGTGGGCCATGCCTTGGAGGACTCGGCCCAGCTATCCTGCATGTGCTCTTTGTTGGATCCCCAGAAGAAGCCATAATAGATATTAAGGACTGTGCTGACCTTGACATCCGTGAGACAATCAAAGTGATAAAATACATTTTTCCTGTAAGATTTTAATGATACAAATTCGGGGCAAGGACAATAAAAGTAATACCTGATGTCAAAAAAATTTCTCAGATATTTATAATACCACAATCACATCATTTACTAATTTAAACCAGCAGTGGGTGCTGAAGCAATATTAAAACCATAAACGTAAGTACATTTCTTTAAAATATGTAATTATGGTGACGGATGTCATCATGTAAAATGTGTTTTTAGAGCAAACGCAGTTTTAACAGGTTCCCAACATGCTGTTTGAAAGGGATACAAAATTACATTATTTGGGATGTGGTTTGAGACCAGTGGGTGTTGTCAACCACGTGATTGATAGTTATTGACAAGTTGTCCTTTCCCTATTTGTTGTATCAAATCTGAATATTATGCAAGTCTTGAGAAATCAGGAATTCTAATCTATTCTAATTCTAATTGTCATTATTAGCTGGAGGGTACAGCAGATTTGTCATCTGAAGAAAATAACCTAATTAATGAGTTGGCACTGTTCTGGGATTTGCCTGCAGTCACATCTGACAACAGAAGATGGCTGCTGGACAAACTGCTCCTCCATGCTGTGAGTATTCTGATCTGTACTTAACAGATCATACAAACCAGACCGACTAATTAGAGTTGAAGTTCTGATGTAGGACAACATTTTGTCTTTATTGTGACATACACAGATGGATGTTGATGAGTTTATTAAGTAATGCTAATTAGACTACTAGTTAAAGATTAGTAAGTCTGCTTTTCTTTTCTGTTGTGATGCAAATGTTTTGCAGGTCCTTGGAAGAACCTCAAGACGAGTGAAACAGTTACGAAGGGGGTTAAAAGAGACACCGATCTGGCCTTTGCTAACTGAGAGTAAAGACACAATTCCCCTCCTCTTTACAAGAGCATCTGATGTACAGTGCACACCACAGGTAAGTGAGCCCATGATGCCAAGTCAAAAACGCACACAAATTACTTTCTCAGAAATGACATGCGTTTTCTACCCTCTGGCAGCCATTGGTTTCACTTCATTACAATAAACATTAACCTGGTGAGATCTGAAAAGTGTTGCATTGAAATGATCACAGTCAGCATTTGATCTTTTTTTTTTTTTTTAAAGTTAAACCTACATCACATCACTGCATGAACAAGTACTGCTCAAACATGGTTGTCCTGAAGTCCTTGCAAGTTGAGTTTCATAGAAATGAACTGACGTGATGTACATGATGTATACAACTAATGCAAATTAACCATGAACATAGTCAAAGCAGACACGGTACCTTATCAGAATTAGCGGTACATCTTATCAGAAGTCCTGATTAAAAGTGTCTGCTACAATACCAAAAGGCTTTACCAGCTGAAAATAATAATCATATTACATCATATGACATCCACCACTTTTCAATTAACATGTGATTGCATAAATTGGTACTAGCACTTAACATATTTTCCAAACATACGGCCTTTATTCAATTTATTTATTTTACTGTTTTGCCATAGTACCATAGGGCCCCAAATTACAGGTCATAAGCAAAAGGGTAAAAGTTTGAAAGAAAAGTTGCAAGATTCTCACTTCAGTTTTCAAGCATTCAAGTTTCTTCTTGAAGATCTTTATTATTTCTAGAGTACATGTGTTTTTGATAATCATGTTACTGTCAATGACAATGAATGTGTCTCTAAAAATAATTGAAAATAACAAGATGTCGTATCATCTAACTTGTCTGACTCCCTTAACCCAAGTCATTTGACTGCTTCAAGTTTAATAAGGTGATAGATATTAATACATTATTTTCATTGATGGAGGACTTGTTGGCAACTTCCCTCACAAGATAGGGAGATGAATCCCTGGGAGCTAGTTGACTTGTGGTTTGATTTCGGTAGCGTGATGACTGAGCCTGGCTCCAGTTCCTGGCTGGCGGTGCAGTGGGTGGAGAGTAATGTCAAATTTATCCCTGGATCTTCGGGGCTGGACTTGCCTCTCTCTCTCTCTCGCTCTCTCTCTATATATAAGACTGACTTTCTGTCTCCTCTTGCCTTGCTTAGTGTCTCCCAGGGACTCTCAGCCTGCTTTCCCTCTGCTGCCTCCTTTTGTGCGGACCATCTTTTGCACTCTCAACAACCAAGAACCATGGCCCAGCAACAGCAGATTAGGTATGAACCTGCTCTGTCCATTAGGACAATACACCAAACCCCTCCAGAATGATACAGTGGAGGCTGCTCAAAGAGCAAAATAGGAATAAAGCATGCTTTGATTATTTAACTGCATTAATGTAATATAAAACGGTTGTAGTTTGCCCTCTGTTTCTCTAGAACTAACATGGCAAATCATAGAAGCATTCGGGTGTATAATGCCTGCTGCACGTATGTGTATGTTGTGTGATTTACTCTGTCGGCAAGTTATTTTTGGATGAGCCGATTTCCAGAGGCAGTCACTCTGTACCCAGTTCTGTTGCAAAGCTAATGCCTGAGAAATAGAATACACACATGAATTACTTTCCAATGGAGATGGTGTCCTTAATTTTGTGCTTTAGATGACCAAATCCTTGTACTTGTACACCTTTACTCAATTTCTAGGAATGTTGTGAGGAAGGGAATGATTGTTGTGCGCGCATGTCTGTGCTGACTTGTCGTTAAACAGCCTCCCAGCTAAACTGATAAATGGAGGGATTGCAGGCATGGTAGGAGTCACCTGTGTGTTCCCAATCGACCTGGCCAAGACCCGCCTACAGAACCAGCGCAGCGGGCATCAACTCTACAAGAACATGTAAGAGCCACACAAGCCAAAAGAAAAGATCACAGATGGCCTCCTTCTCACTATGTAGTATTTACCTTTTTAATAATTACCACACATCATTTGTATGAAGACTCTTCCCAAGTTTTCATTTTCCAAGCCCTGACTCTATTTTATTAATACTCACTTAATTCTAATATGCATAAACGTGAGGGTATCCTTTAAATAATTTGCATAATTATCAATGTCTGTGTTTTTTCTCCTTCAGGATGGATTGCCTAATAAAGACAGTTAAATCGGAGGGCTACTTTGGCATGTACAGAGGTAACACTATTCGCACTGTTTGTAAAATACTGACATTTTTAAGATGTGCCTGAATAGTCTCCTTGAATAGAATATCAAGACCTGTGATACACTTTGATTGGCCTGAACCGAACTTACCAATTTCATCTGACTCCCAAAGAAGGATGTTTTTCTTATGCCAAGTTTCTTTAATTTGTTTTTTTCATCCTCCATGCTGTGTCATGGCTAAGTGCTTGGATCAAATTCCATGAAAATAGATTAATCAGTGGTTCATCTTGTAAGACACTGATCACATAACCACAACTGGACATTTTATGCCTCACATAAATCATTGTTGCTTTATCTGATTGACAACCTCTGTGATGTGGAATTAATTTCTTTAACAGACATCTTGCTGCATCAACGGTTCATTAGTATTAAGTTTGTCAATGCTTGTTGTTGCAGGCGCAGCAGTAAATCTCACCCTGGTAACCCCCGAGAAGGCCATCAAACTGGCTGCTAATGACTTCTTCCGCCACCAGTTGAGCAAAGATGGGTGAGTAATACCACGGATTAAGACAGACTCCTGTAGGGCAATGTCATTCCCTTTTTTTTTTTTTTTAAACCCGGTCCGTGTGTCTTCAGTGGCAGGTTGACGGTGTTTAAGGAGATGCTGGCAGGATGCTGTGCAGGAATGTGCCAGGTCATAATCACCACACCCATGGAGATGCTCAAGATCCAGTTGCAGGATGCTGGCAGGCTAGGTAATTACAAGGAAGTCAGCAGCAGCAAATAATGCTTTGATGTGCTCTTTACATCCTCAACAGTTACCCTAAAACAGTTACAATATGTTTCCTCTCTCTGCCAGCGGCCCAGCAGAGGGTGGTGCCTAGTGTAGTGACCACTCTAAAGATGGGGGGGACCAGGGCTGTTCTTAGCCGTTCCTACAACACCAGCCCTGCGCCTCAAGTCACGCGAGTGTCCGCCACACAGATCACCAGAGAGCTGCTGAGGACCAAAGGAGTGTCAGGACTGTACAGGGGACTCGGAGCCACGTTGATGAGGTAAGATGGGATTTCATGCTTGCTCTTGCTTAAAGCCACAGTTGATAACTATAATAAAAATAACGTTTTGTCATATTTGCTCAAACTGTCAATATATCCTGACGGTAGTACATGAGACGGATAATCTGTGAAAAAATATCAGGTTCCTCTGCCTGAAGGAGCGGTCATTCACTGCTCATAAACTCCAATCAAACTGTCAAACGAAGCAGTGCAGATCAAATATGAATCAAGATTCTGTTGTTGTATTGCGTGTTTCTTACCTGAAATGTTTTCAGAAACATGTTAACTTGTATTGTTGAGCTGTAAAATGAGTTTGCGACCCGGCCGCCATGTTTAAACGCAGTCGAGCCAAAACCAAGCACCGCCCACAGAACTGTTCTCATTTTGCAGCTAAACCGTAGACTAAAATATGTTCCTGAAAACATTTGAGAAGAGAAATAGGCAATGCAGTAACAGAATCTTGATTCTTCTTGATCAGCGCTGGCTAGTTTGACAGTTTGATTGGTTCATGAGCAACGAATGACGGTTGCGTTAGAGACTCCTCAGGTCTGATTGGTTGTTTTTCTTCAGGCGCTTGATTCTTGCAAATGCCATTGGGAGCACTAAATGGTGGCAAAGGAACAGGTTTTCTCTTTCATGGACTACTGTCAGGATATAGTGACAGTTTGAGTAAATGTGACAAATTTATTTTTATTACGTTAAGTTACCAACCAAAGCTTCAACTGCTTTTCCAGTTATTGTGGCTAACATGCAATTTTTTTGTTGCCTTTTTAGGGACATCCCGTTCTCCGTTGTGTATTTCCCTCTTTTCGCACATCTGCACCAGCTCGGCCAGCGCTCATCTGAAGACCCATCCGTGCCCTTTTATTGGTCCTTCATGTCTGGCTGCCTGGCTGGATCCATCGCTGCTGTGACTGTCAGCCCTTGTGACGGTCAGTGACTCAATCTATGAAGATATCAACCAACATAAGCATTATTAACTGAAAGTTTAAAGTTGTTTCAAATATTTTTATAAATTCTCAACTAATATGCTTGGTATGTCTGGTGCAGTGGTCAAGACAAGGCTACAATCACTCAAAAAAGGAGCTAACGAGGAAACCTACAATGGAGTGGTGGACTGCATCAGGTAAATATTTCATACAGTCATCAAACAGAATGCCTTTCCTTCCACAGGGTTTGCATGAAAGGCACAGGTTACATGCTAACCCTGCACACTCTCCTCAATTGCAGAAAGATCCTGAGAAAGGAGGGTCCTGGAGCGTTCCTCAAGGGGGCCAGTTGCCGGGCCCTAGTTATTGCCCCACTCTTTGGCATTGTACAGGTTGTGTACTTTGTAGGAGTTGGAGAGTTCCTGCTTGGGTACACGCCCTCCAACATCTACTCTACATAAACAAGCTGTTTCCTAGTCTGTCTATTCAAGAGATTGAAAGTTGTATTTCTATCTGGGCCTCAGTGGAGCATATTGTGAGAGCAGAATTGCTTTCCTCACTAAGGGACTAGATAGACTTACATTGATCACCACTGCACTCATATCAGACTCAAGACCTGTCACACCAAACCCTTCCCATGTTTTCCTAGATTCAGCCCCTATCCCTCATTATGCCCAATATCAATTGCCCTTCACTGTAACCCTAACCTGTACATCCCTCCAACTGCCCCATGTAGGTCTAACGACGGTTACATGATGTTGCAAAAGAGACCTTACAGTGCAAGGGAGCGTCTACTGTGTAATAACAAAGGCCGAATGTTTAAACATTACTTGAATAGCTTCAATCCTGTTTTAAAGGGTTACATGTGAAACAACATGGATGTTGACCCCTGTCTATGTATGTAGTGTAAAGCAGATATCATTTGATAAATAACTTTTCTGACAAAATAATTTTCAGGTGTTTTCCTCCGAACAACCTGGTCTGGAAAACTGATTATTTAAAAGGTCATAGCTTTAGACTGAATGAACATTTGGACTTCCTGTTCACCTGTATGATACAGGAATCCTGTGTTGAATTACTTTCTGTTGCAAGGAGTAAATTCCCTGTGTTATGCTTTACAGTTGGTCACTAAACTGAAACTGTTCGTAGGTGCTTTCTGGTGTTTATTTCTCAGGACAATGTTGTGGAGGTGTTTGGGTTTTTGAATGGACACTGTGGGCAATCTCTCTGTGGGTCCATCAAACTCTTTTTTTAAACTTTGGAGACCTGCTTTTTGCAGAGAAAGAAATGGCGTTTGATGGTTAGTCTCGCCGGACCTTTCGCTGTGGTCTGGCTCCACACATTAACATTCTGCTATAGGGGAAAATGCCCTGTCTTGTATTTCTTTAAACACCTCACAATTGTCTTGGGCAGCACTTAGCACAGGATGCAGCGATGGATAGATAGTAGATGGAGAAGAGAATGCTGGCTGAAATAGGCGGCCAATGGGTGGCTTATACCCACAATCTACATCTGAGGCAGACTAGATGGTGGTAAAGTGGTCTAATGATGGACAAGTCTTTATTTATGTGACTTGATATGCTTTTGGGACCAAATCTTCTGGAAAAGGTGTATGGTGACCTATAAACAGCCACTTTCTCTTAGTTGACGGTGGTTGTTCGTGACTGGTCAGGTGTTCTTGTCTGTTAGAGATACAGGAGCCCACACAAGTGTATCGTGTATTAAGAAGCAGAACGGAGTGCAATTTTGGGCTGTACTCGCCCCCTTATGGAGAATTTCATTGGTCAAACCGTTTTATGTAAATATGTATCTTGTATTTTTTGTTTGTCTCAAACGTTGCCAAGTTAAACTCAAACTGAGAGCAGTTTTTAACATTTCAATATGTTCAAAAGTGTTTTAACCAGTTTAGAGGACAATTCATTATTTTTAACTTCATTGTAATGAACTTAATTGAATTACATGTGTAAATAGATTTCTAAATGCTGAATAAATACTTATGAATCCAGTGTTTACTTGTGGTATTTATGGAGTGTGTGCAGCCTGAAGAGTTGCATATTCAGTCATGTATTCTCAGGTAGGGCTGTAGGGAATAGTGGCAGGTTGACTGTAGACAGTGTCGTACTTTTTCCGATGCAATCTTAAGGGGTGTTACCCTGCTTATTTACACATGCATCACTGGCATGGATACGTCTGAGGCTGTAAAAATGCTCATGCTGCAGTGTTGGGGTAACTCTAGCCCGGGGAGTCCTGGAGCCTCTGCCGCATCACAGGCGTAACTAAATATTCAGCTGTCCTTTCAGCTCAAGCGCAGAAAGGTGAAACTCTGACATGAAACACATGCGACCAAACCTGGAAACGTATTTAATCAGAGGGGATTTAAAATCCTATCTGCTGGGAAGGAAAGAAAAATCACGTTCTGATGGAATAAGTCCATCTGTTTGAATGTGTTTCTGCAACCATCATTTTCAATTTCTACATGGGTCATTTTGACTACAAGCCGCTTTAAAGCCATGTTTAAATATAACTCATTCTTGGATCTATAGCACACTATTCCTCCTAATGTATATCTATCTGCTACAGTGAATTAGTACTGGCTTATCTGGGGATTATGTGATTCCTTCAAAAACCTATAAAGTAAGCCTACTACATTAGGAAATCTACTACTTAATGTGTTAATGTAGATTCATCTTTATTTTCCGTAACCAATAATTGAAAGAAAAAACTAGGCCTTTCTTCGTTAATGTTGAGTGTGAATAAAACACTGCACCATTTTCAGATGAGATCTGATGAATGTATCGGCCTGTTTTAAATTACTTTTGGTGAGGTGGGGAGGTTATGTTTCAGTATTGGAAAGTATTGAGTGCAGATTTAACCAGTGGAGTATGTGACTAAGTCTGTGTGTGTAATGGGGTTTGATATCACGACTTAGAAATGTCTTCAGTAACGAGATCTAACAAGTTATTCAACATGTCAGAAACACAAATGCAAAATACTCAAACCCCACCTTCCAATCTTGTCCCAAAAGCAGGTTTCCTGAGTTATCTTTTTCTTTGCTGAGAAAAACACACAAATCCCTTAAATCTGGAACAACTGATGCAAAGAGCTGTTATGTCTTTTTATTACCAAAGTCATGCACACAACTGCATTACTTTACTAATAACTGATCTGTTCTTGTTTCAAAGATTACTACTTATTTCAATATAGCAGGAAATGCATATAAACTATCATACATTGTAGACCCCTGTGATGAAATAAGACACAGGAAACAATGTAAACTTTAAAAGCTTTATTAAACTTCAAACAACTATCTTCCTGAGAAGCCTGGAATGGTATCAAAATAAATTAACACACAATCAACTACGAAAGGCTCGACTGTGTACACGGTGTCTTTATATGTGCACAGTACATTACATCTCCAGATTTGTTCAAACAAATACAACTGAGAAACAGCAATAGCTTTATGGATTGAGGCACACTTAACTGTTCCTAGTTCATCCTATTTGAACCTCACAGAGCCTGTGAAGTAACAGTCGAGTGACTCTGTTGTCACGCAGAGTAAACACAGCCTTCTGGAGTGGGAAAAAAAAGCCTTTTTTTGTGTCACATTACACTGAAATGTTCTAAAATGACCAAGAGGCTTTTGAAATAGTTGGCAGAGAAGTTGTTGCTTTCACCATCTCTTGGCAGAGAAGAAGTGTCACACGCCAAAACAATAATGGCAAGTCGAATGTGCGTGACAAGTCCTTGCAGTCCAACTCTACAAACATATGTACACTTTTGCTATGTTCTGACAGCCCGTTGTTCAAATAGCTCGTTATTAAAGAAAGGCACATTAAGAAGCTGTTAGTTGTGTGGATTTGCTTTGACTATCGCAAACACTGTCATGACTACATGAACATCATACAACTACTACAAGCTCATATCTACACACAGCTTGTTAAATAGTGACTATCAAATCATCCACAAATAACGTACAACTACAAGAAAAGTCACATATATTTACATACCACAGTCCTGTAATAAACCCTGCAGAATTAACAGTGGCCTGAGTGAACCTGGGTAAATAAAAGTTATTGGAAGTCGGGCATTTCTGTCCAAACCTTTTTGTCTGCTGAGGTTGAAGAGATGAGAGGAATACAGGGGTCATTTCTCAGCTTTTGTTTTGTCGTGAGTGGTGTACTTTTAAGGCACAGAGGGGAAAAAAGATGGGAGGTGGGAAGAGATCCTACTGGTTTGAATAACCCAATTTCCCAGCCCCACTGCCTATTCTCAGTTGACTGGCTAGCCTATATTTAGCCTGTAAACATCCACATGCGTCCACATGATCTTGACGTACAGTCAACATAGACTCAAGGATACTCTCTTCTGTAAGAGAGCACTTATATAAGAGGAGCTTTTCCTTCGGGACAAAAAATAAAATTTGGTTTTCAGTTCAGCTGGTGTGCGCTTTCTATTTTTGGATTCACATTTCCGCTCCAGGCAGCTTTTGACCCTTGGTTGTGAAATCCACCACATACCTGCATTGTTTGAAAAATATAGAATGCACGGTTTGTTGTAAATGTACTAAAAGGTAAGGAAGAGTTGGGAAAAATGTATATTCACATTCTTGCCAAGAGTGAGATGAGAAGATCAATACCACTCATGTCTGTAAAGTAAATATGAACTACAGCTAAACTAAGCTAATCCTCGACAACACATTGAATAACTGCCAATTTTTCTTGTAGAGAAAAATCTATGTTGATTGTTAAGTTCACACAGAGAGTGTATACTGTGTGTGTGTGAGTGAGGGCACAGGGGCTGCATGATGGATGCATTCCCGAAACATTCACTGGCCATTCCCTCTCGACACCCCACTCTGATTCCACCAATCAGGATTCACTACGAGATTCCAGCCAACCTTTTTTTTTTAAAGGCTGTGATCTCATGTCACACACCATTGCTTTCACCTCTCAGGTTTGCTCTCTCGGGGCTAAAGTTTCCCACAGTCGAGGGGTCAGTGTCAAGGCTGTGTGAAAAAGAATTGACACTACTGCGACAGTATGTGGGTTAAAATTTATAATGGTGACCAAATGGCCATGAGGAGGAAAACAATTTGACAGATTGTCAGGTCAACATCAGAAATCACACTGATCCTGCTGTTTTGGTCTTATCAGAATGTTCTGGAAGGTAGAGGGTGCTACTTTGCTTGTGAGTACAAATAATTAAAAAAAAGAGAAAATAGTGGAACATCAGGTCTGGAGAGCTGGTTTTAGCATCATAGTGGAAAGGATATTTTTGAACATGATCTATTTCCAGGGTCCCTGGATGGATGATGGACTACGGTTGACATTTGATCTGAAGGCTGTACAGTCTTTTGGGGCTGGGTGCAGAAGAGGTAGAGGTCGAGGGTCCAGCTTAGATGACCTCCCTGCTGTTGCGAATGGCACAGCAGAGCACCATACTGAAGATCATCCCAATGATCTGTTGGGACGAAACGGAGTTTGAACAAAATCGTTCTCGCTCGCAATACGTGCGTATTTGCGTGTGTTTTCAAGTCTTCTCAGATGCTGACTCACCATGACTCCAGCGATGCCGATGCCCACGTATCCAATGATGAAGAGTTTACTGTTGAAGAACTCCTTGATGCCTGTCTCACAGTCCTGCAGACCAAAGATAAGAGGAATCAAGCAGTGTGAAGTTGTCAAGAACCAGGATGATTTGTATGACGCCATGACTCATTAGAGGGGCGGAACTTTATTTCCTCCTTGAGTCTGGAGCTGGTGTCAGATCTTACCTTAGTATCTGTTCTGGATTCAGTACAGGGGCTTTCTATGGTCCCACAACATTTCAGCTGAAAGTGGAAAGATAAACATAATATGATGTATGAGCAAACATAATGCATTTTCTATGCATTAAGAAAAAAGTGTTTTATTTTAATACTTACTACTTTCTGGTATGAGATGATCAATGTGCTGTTATTGTTTTCATTGTAGGTCGTTGTGTAGAAGGTCTGAACGTCTTTGATAATCTGTGTGATAGTGGACAGTGAATGATGTGGTGCCATTAGGATTCATTGAACTAAATGTACTACTTAAGCTATCAAATATTTAATGTACCTTGTCCTTGTTTAAGAATCCAAACACCCCTGCTGCCAACTCCGCACCAAAGATGATCAACAGACACGCAAAGAACTGAAGGAATCCACAGAAACAATAAAGAGGGACAATAAATAGAAAGGTGAAATATATGTGAACTTAAAGATAACATTTGCTCTTGTGGTACGTATGCATTTGTACTCACTGAACCCAGCAGGCATTGAGATTCCCGAACAGCTCCACAACAGCCAAAGAAACCAACCAACATCACCAGACTGCCAGCACCTATCAGGATATAGACACCTGGAGGAACACGGGAAAAGACACTGATGCAATTATGAACAAAAATGCAGGAAATAAAGTTAAACATTTTTTAAAGTCATGAGGTAAACAACCATCAGAATACCTTTTAATTTGATACACTATTCATCAACATAGAGAAAACATGCTCAGCTTTCCCCATCTAGTTCATCTGGCAATTAAGATCTATAGAAGCACCAGCAGAGGGAAGCATAGAGCTAGAAATGTAAGTCACTATATTCTAGATTGCCGAGCAGACTAGCTGGTGACGATGGTATTCACATTTGTGAATACCATTCACAAATGTGCTCTTTCAGTGGTTAGTGCTTAGATCCTTTTTTTAGGAGTGGACCCACTTATTGTGCCTTTTAATTGTGTCCTCATTTGAGATGCCTTGTAAATAGCCTTGTTGCCAACAGCCTTATTCAAGAGAAGCTCGAAGTGGGACCTCCCTGGTCTCCCATCAACCCACTCATTGGGAAAACAGCACTCATAAAGGTGGGGTCTGTTGCCAGGCGACAGCTCTGCAGAGGATGGGGTGAGTGAGGACGCGTCAGCCCCCTGGGTGATACGTGCTTAGATGGAAACAGGAGAGGAAGACCGTTTATAGGATCCTGATGTGTCAACAAAAAGACTTGATGTGACACAATAATTGAGTTGGGTGCGTCATTTGTTTTGTTTGTTAGGAAGGAGAGTTTAGCTGCCGCCTTAAACTTGCTCTCCCTGCGGTCTGCGAGCTGTCTGTTCCGTTTGTGCACTGAAAAAAAAAAATCCGGTGTCGGGGTCGTTTATAGTCATTCACATGACAGGGTAGTGGTCCATGGATGGGTAAAGAGAAAGGCAGTGGGAGCGAGAGGAACAGTAAATATGGTCGGAGGACTTTGTTTGACTCCATCTTTAAGGTGTCTAACGATCAATTAGCCTGTTGATCGGCCTTTAACTTATCGCAGCTGGTGACAAGTAATGCTGCTGCATTCACAAACTGAAAGAGACGCCGTTTCTCTACTTGGTTTTCCGTTCGGCGCTTAGTCTGAAGTTGTTTGTCGTGTTCTTATAGCAACTGTTGAGCGCTCTCAGCTGTGTCTGTGGAGACAGCGCACTCAATGTCAAAGCCATGTGCAGCACTATACTCTGAGAGGACCTCACTTCAAGAAGCCCCCCCCCCCCCCATCCTCATGTGTGCCTAGCATACTATTTAAAAATGGTATTATGTTACTTATTTGCAAAGTTCATGGATTGATTTGAAAAGATACAATAGTGTCATGATGTGATACGTTTTCAATGCTGCAAAAAGGAGATTTTCATTTTCCATTCCTAATATCAGTCAACGTAAAAGTCTAACGGCTGATACTACTTTCCGTGACCCATTTAGAGTGGTTTCTGAGCAACATGAAAAAGACACACACAAACTTTAAAAAAACAAAACAATATATAATCACCAGCAACAACAATACTTACAGCATGTTCTTACACACCTACACTGTGTGTACATTGACTGTAGAGATGACCTGAGGTGTGTTATGGTACTCACCAATGAAGAAAGTGTCTGGAGCCTTGTCAACATTGAGAAGAGACACAGTTTCTGGATCGAAGCGCAGCCACAGTCCCACTGCCAGAACAAACGATCCCATCAACTGCAGAGAGAGAAGAGAGACAAGGACTTGTAATAAGCTACATAATGACCACTTATTTCAGACAAAACGCATTGAACAACAAATACAGGACCTCTGTAGACAAGTAGTCCACAGTCATGCGCTGTCGAGACTCATGCAGGCTTTAACTGTAACTGAACCCGAATAAATACCAACTATAGATGTAATAAACGTTGAAATGTCACATGGTTGCAGACGGTCCTCAATACAGTCAGTAAAGTAGAAAATCAATGTTCTTGGTTTCAGCATTCATCACAGGAGTGTAAGTGCTTGATTTTTCAGGCCTTCAGAGGGCTTGTTCTTCTGCTCTCCCTCAATGGGGTTTTCCACATAAAGCAAATGGTGCTGTGGAGTTTCCACTCCGACCCTCCGCCCTTTGCACGTAGGCAACAGGAGCGTAATCTCTGTAAGAGTTGTTAGGCTAAAATGGAATGTTTTTTTGTCAAACCAATGGTATGAATACTTGTCAGTATCATGGGTGAATCATTTATGTGTTCTAGATCCCAGCGAAATGTAACTTTTGTAACTTTGAAAAAAAAAAAAAAACGTAGTGATTTTTGGCGTCTCAGTAGGGAGAAAATGACCCGCTTGGCTGCGGGGAGCAGTGCGGCACCTTGAGCTTAAACAGGCTCTCCTGTTTGTTTGGAAATGTGGCTACATGTTGCTCATAGTTTCCTTCATCTAAACCACCATCAGCATACATTGAACAAAACCCTACTCCCTGCAATGGTCTTGCAAACTCACTGCAACAAAAAACCTTTATTCTCTTAAGTGGTCAAAAGTTGAAGACCTTGAAGTAAACGCTTTGTTTTCAAGAGATCTGAGATGCTCTCAAGGACAGAGACTGTGGTGGGCGCACCACTGATGGATCAATACTGAGAGGTTCTAATGATCACTGAGCCTATGCCCCCTGAGGATTATGGAGTCTAAAAACCTTCCGAGCTGAGCTGAGCTTCAAAACAACACAGTGTGTGTGTGTGTGTGTGTGTGTGTGTGTCTGTGTGCAGAGAAATAAAATGATTTGTCTAAATGGAGAGAATTAAGGAGTGCTTGTCACATGGTCTCTCTGTGTCCTAGATATCAGAATTGATGTAGTGTGACTATTTGTTTCTGCGTCCTCTGGCTCTGTTTATTTATTTAGAGAAACAAACCCCATTCCAAAGTTCAGACAAAAACAAACTGCTCCACGTTCGTCCACTCAAATCCACTTAAAAAGTCTGCACAAGTTTCACTTCTTTTAGTCTTTATCTTCTAGCCCTCATGTTCTACACTCCTCTCCTCCTCCACTCCAGGTCCTCAAGTTATATTTTATAGTGTTGGTCTGAAGTAAAGCCAGTAGCTTAGCTGTAAAGCATCGGAATAAGACAGGTGTTGGGAAGCAGGCTTCCTCCAAAACTAAGGATTTAGCGTCATGCGTGGTGATGTGTGGGACAGCTGAGCTCTTGGGGTTTCAGGATTAGCAGGTCCAAAGTGATAAAGCACATTAAAGTGAAGGCTGCAGATATGTAGACTTACTGAACCAGGCTGGATTAGTGCGTATGAGGGGCTCTGGATCTATTTAACCCTGGTATTTGTCGGAGCACCCGATGGTGCGATGGCGTGGTTGGAGGTGTGAGGCGAGGACTGCTGCCCACTGAATCGTGTGGATATGCACACAGCGCTAAGTGTTGCTGTTGTCCCCAAGCTAGGTCGTGTTAGTGGTGTAGGAGGAGCAGATGGTTGTTTCACAATTGCAAAGAGCTCAGAGCTCAGCCGAACCTCATTACTATGACGGCTCCATTTAAAAGCCTTTTCAAAACCAGATGCATTGAATGGCGACCACACTGAAAGTTCTCATTTTAGAAAAAGGCATCCAACACTGCAGGCAGTAGCTGACATATTAAGCACGCTTTCAACTCTGGCACTCACTCAGTCATCCCAAAGGTCCCATTAACCCCCTCACTGCTTACATACCCCCTGCTTTACCCCCCACCACTTCATCTGCCATCATTACCCCGTCTGACACCAGACACACCCCTCCCCTCCCTTCTCTCGGCCCCCCTGCCTCTCAAATCTACCAGCCCGCCCCCTGACTTATCTCCATGTACACCCCTCCCCTACCCCACCTAATCTCGCCCCCCCCTCCCTCCAAACCTCACCCAAAGGACAAAGACCCACTGTCTCCCTGTGACTATACGTTTTGGCGCACAATAGGACGGAAACAGACGGACACAATGAAAGAGAGAATGAAAGAGGGGAAGAGAGAAAGGAAAAGAGAGTGTAAGTCGTTAGACGAGCCATCATCTTTCTTCCTTGCCTGCGGACATGGAAGACAGAAGCATCTTATTCAGAGACAAAGTTGAAACTCCAACCTGTGGCCTATACAGGCCCTGTATAGCCTATGTGTCTCTAAAACGCAGATGGAAGTTAGAATCGCAGAGTTACCTTACAGCCTCTCTCTATGCTATATTGGAAGATAGTTTATGTGACTGGATATTTCTAGACAGGGACAGAAATCTCACTGTTGCAGCTTTATTGAGGTTATTTTACAGTAACAAGGCCTACTTTTTTAACAGGGCAGTTAAATAGTGTTTTTGTGAGGGGAATTTCCATGAAACAGGGGCTGAGCTGACACAGGACTGTGGTCTTGGTCAGAGACAGTCTGAGCCATTATCCACTTTCTAGGTTAGACCTTATTTTCAGGAAAAAACTAAAAAGCAGTCTACAAAAGCAAAACATCTGTCTGGCATATGTTTAGGAAAACATTTGCAAGCGCACATTAAAAAAAGATAGGCAGAGGGAAAGTGTAAATAGGAGGGGGATCATTATGGGTGGAGTAAATCCTATTGTACTCTGCCACAGGGCGAGGGTGTGTGGTGGCACACATCAACCTCTACAACACAGACCAGTGTGTTTGTGTCGTGGTGCTAGGGTTTTTGTTTTAGTTTGTTTACCGTTTTAGTCCGCCCCACCCTTATGACTTTCACCTGTTCCTCGTCAGTCTTGCTGTGACCCGCCCCTTGTTATCCGCCTCCTTTCCTGCCTGACGTTTGTACTCTTAGTCTGTAAGCTATTTTTGTTGCGATAAAATATGATCGCTGAATCTGCAAGTCTCTGCGTCTGCATTTGGGTTCCTTCCCGACCTGTTCTGCTCCAGCAGCCGTGACAGTTTGTAGGGCTGAATATTGGGATAATATAATTACCAGAAATCTTCAAAATGTTGGACGCCTCTTCACAATAACCATCCACACTGTGTGTCAATTTTGATAGTGAAATTCTTTCTTACAATAGATAAATCCATCTTTTAATCCCGTCTTACCTTATTGTTTAAAAAAAATATCTTAATTTTCTCGAAAATAAACATCTCAGCTGTTTGATTTGGGAAAGTCCAAGACATGAACTTGGACTTGCCCCAAAACTGTTTCAAACTGCGACCGTATTACGGGAGAAAATGTTTTCTTTGAAAGATAATTAAAAAATGCTGTTTAGTTGAGAGTGTCATTTTGGAGACGAGGTTGCTCATTTCAGCCCTCTGAACTCTCACCAGAGAGGTAAGATGTTGGCTCTACAATTGCTGTATGAGAAAAAACAATTACCTTTTTACTTGGACAAAAGAATTGAATGGTATACAGACAATAGGGGTCAGTCCCAAAGTGTGTCATATCGGTTGTTGTTGATTAGTAGAAAGAACACTGGGATATTTCACACACATCACTAGTAAGTAGCGCTCGCCCCTCACTGTTAACCTCCCAGGCTTTTTGACTAAATAGGGCAGTCAGTGAACTACAGCACACAAACACAGGCCAGACAAGCCAGCAAGGTATTGATGTTCCGTCGTAAGCTGTTGTATTTGGAGCTATCAGCGTAACATATACAATAGTGTGGCCTGCATTACATTGACGGTTTGGCATTGGAGCCCTGCAGGAATCTCACTACATCATGCTGTGACAGGGAGTCATCGAGATGCATAAACACATAGCCACTTTGTACGTATTGAGTGATGAGCATGTTTTGTTTGTGCTAAATGAGGATGGTTGGATGACGCTCTTAACTATTTTGGTAAAACACAACTTAATTTTGTGTTTTAAGTGTGTGAGTGTTGAAGAGCCACCGGCCTGTCTCTGCTCTTCTGTCCACTCCGGGCTCATGGGGGGGGGGGGGATTTGAAGGGAAACATATCTGCCCCTCCTCCACACACACTCTTCTCTCATCATCTCTCACTCCACCATCAACAGAGGGGGGGGGGGGATTGGGATGCAGTGATTATGAACAGAGAGTGACCACTGTTCATTGGCAGCTGAAAAAGTGCAGGCAATGTGCAGAACTCGCATGATGCAGTCAGCACCAAAAAGTGGAGCACCCATATTGGTGTTTCTGTGCGACATGGAACACACACGCAGACATCCACAGAATATCCCGCTATCCTTATACCGATCTGACTTTCTATCTTTATCTGGGTCAGCTGTCCCTCTTTTGCCATGTGAGCGCGCACACACGCACATTAATATCCCTCTCAATCTCCCAATGACCCTTTTCCCTCCTCTCACATTTGCTGTCTTCCTTTCTCTGTTTTTCATGAACAGGTCTGTCAGGCAGTCACGCATCCTCTTTTTCCACCTGTCTGTCACCTCTCATAATTCACCTCTCTGTCTCTGCAAGTGCCCACATTCAGTCAGATGTACTGGAAAAAATAAAAAAGCAGATTTCAGCAACAGCCACACCCATCCTGGATGTGGGGATAGCCGGTAAGAGGAGATAGAATAACTTGATGATTGGACCGGTGGGGGTCGCTGCATTAAGGGCTCCGGCAGGCCTGATGCTTAGCCAGGCAGGAGCAGCACACTGAAGTTATGCTGCTATTGTCCCCGCTGTCACAATGGATCCATTCACGCTGCACTCAGCGCCTGATCCACTCCACAGATGCTTGTTGGAAAATCTCTCTCTCTCTCACACACTCTCTCTCACACACACACACACACACACACACACACACAAAAGAGCGTCCCCTCAGTGGAGTGAGAACAGTGGAACAAAACATATCCCAAAGTGCACTTTTACGCATACACACACACACAAACACACAAGGTTATCCAGTAACTACTTGTGGAATCTTAAATTAGAATGTTCATTTATAGGATGCAGTGAATGGACTTAACAAGGATGGCAAGGGTTTAAGGAGGGACATGTGCAAAGCATGTCTGCAGGACACACAAACACACGCGCACCTTTCACATCCACCAGACAGTTGTCTTGAGTAAAGTGACTCTCTTGTGCCTCCATCTGAGTGCCCACGTGCTGCTTTCTAAAAAAGATCAGCAGTTGAGCTGATCTTGTGCTCCTGGTTGTAACTTCCCTTTTTATCAATCAGCTCTGCAGCTCTGTTTGTTAATGTGGCGCAGGGAGCCAACTGCTGAGTTTGTTTTCCATTGCTTTCTCTCAATCTCTCCCCCTTCTCTTTGTCTTTTCATTCAGTCTTCCTTTTGAAAAACACGCTTCCCCGGGAAAATGAGGGCGGGTTTTTTTCCTCTGTGGAAAATCTGATTTGAACCCGGTGAGACAAAACTAGGAACCTCTAGCTGTCACCGTCTCCGCACCACGCTGGGTAAACCCACGCCGGACGGTCAGCAACTAAATAAAGCACACAAGAAGATGACAGCAAGAACGGAAAACAATCTAAGCATCGTTACTGAAATAACACGTGGGGGTGTGAACGTCAGCTGTGCAGTACTGCGAGTAGTCTGCACTGCTGCACTTGCTCCGTGTTCGTTTACGCACGCCCCGCATAACATCGCCACACACGCACTCACACGCACTTACCCAGAAGATAAAGTTGAACACGAACAAAAGGTATTTGACACATTTCATTCCTCCTTCCACCTTCGACATTTTGGCTGGATGTTGTTTGCCTTTATTCCCGCAAAATGCTCTGACGGTTGTGTTGGCTCCGCGCAGCGTGACAATAACGGTCTCAACACTTGTGTATCGCAAAGCGTTCTCTCTCTCTCTCTCTCTCTCTCTCTCTCTCTCACACACACACACACACACACACACACACACACACACACACACACACCGCAGGATCTCAGACTCTTTCCAGACCGCCCCTTTCAACAAAGCAGAGGGGGGCTGAAGGGGGTACCGAGACTACAAGATGAAGACTTAGCAACAATTTGTATTTGAATTGTATTTAAGTGGTAAAATCTTACCGGAAAAAAAGAGATTAGCAACACAAGAAGAAAACAACAGATCACCATACTTTTGATACTGTCAGGGCTGATTGTTGTTATTAGTGTGAGTACAAACCACAATTTCTGTTCATGTTATGCATATTGAATATACAACTTGTAATGTTGCATACTATAGCATTGTGGTTGAACTATGCTTTGCCAAAGGATGCCGTTATCCCTTTGGCTGACAGTAAATGTATCCCATAATAAGTGTAAAGTAAACAAGTGTTTCATAATCAGTATATTCCCATCAAAATGTGTTTGTAGAACCACACCCTCCCATTATCCTCACACACCTTCCATGGCAACGATAAAGAAGTAGTTCAAGTTTGGTAGGTTTACCCATTAAACCTTGAGAGATTTGTTTGCTATACACGTATAGCATCTCTTTTACTGTGATGTATAGTGGCCTATTTTTCACATGCCTATCAGACATATCAAGCTAATAATAATAAATGTCATCCTGCACATATACCAGGATGCACATAACCAGCCTATTTTTATGACAGAACTACTGCAAAGTCAAAGAAACTCGTGCACAAAGAAAATAGTTATAAAGACAGCATCTAAACAAGGGAAAGCCCAGCCTCTATGAAGAAACTAGGTGGTTTGTGTTGTCATCACATCATTTGACAACAGGATTTACTCAATTTCCTTTTAAGATGTTGAGGCATTTCATAACTGAAAACAGAACAATAACCTTACCCAAGCCTTTCCTGTTCCTATAAACCGGGTGTCGGTGTAGCATTATAAAGGTGTCAAAGACTTTAAAAACGCAAGCTGCCTAATCATTCATCAATAAGAGAGTTGACCAATTCTCAACGGATGAATATTGAGAGCTACAGTAGTTTCCACTTCTTTCTGTTTTTCTCCCCGTGGCACTAAATTTAGTCCTGGAGTGATGAGTAAAAGATGAGTTTTTCATCCACTTTCATCCTCTTTCAACTAAATCTCTAAAAATCGGATGAAAATGGGTTCGAATAAGTAAGTGCGCTGGAAAAGGTCAGAATTTTAATCACAACAGAAGTCAAAGTTTACAAGAAAGTTCACTAAAAATCACTTGACCCGCTCATTTGAATTATTTACATTTCACTTAATTTGAAGCACAATTGACCTCTTATTCCTAAATACATTGCCCGACCTTGTGCAAAGCATCAGCTAAGTACAACCTAATTCTACTATTAGTGGAATGGAAAGAGTAGCCCCTGATGTCTTCCCTCAGTGTCATCAGTGACTGAGAGCATGAAACTCAGCAGCAACGCCATGTTCAACATAAATATTTTCCCCACAACCATGGAGAGCAGGGGGAACGTCCAAAGAGTAGTTCATTTTATCACCGGGTAATTAGGCACTGGTTAGAAAATGTCCATATAGAGGAAAAAAATGGTCTGCCAAGCTTAATGCTAGAGGGAAGAAAGAGTCAGACAGGAATGACACGACAGAGAGAGAGAGAGAGAAGGAGAGAAGGACTAGTGTAAACGCTTAGATGATGAATTTACGTGAATAATCATCAACATGTGGCTCTTTTCACACACATGAACCGAGCCGTCTTAGACTCTCAGAACAGCAAAGTTTGTGCTGTGACACTTGTTGAGGGAATTGTGCGGGACAGAGGGAAAACAGATGAGGTTTAGTTAGGACGTTAAACATAGCAGTGCCATAAAAGGAAAGGCAGATAAGACTGGGACAAGAGCACTGTGTCCCCGCTTGTTGGTTGTTGTTGGCCGCTGGTGGCTCAGTTGCTATGTGGCTCCAAACTCCAAAAGAAAAATTGCTGCAGGTCATAACCCCCATGAAGAAAGACAGCAAACGGCTGCCTGGATTGAATTACAGCTCAACATGATGTTTAAACAGGTTCATCTTGGGGCTGGCGTGGTAGCTCTGCTCTTACTAGTGACCCGGACAAATTTACTACTGTAAGCATGTTAAGAATTTGAATAAAGTCCTGGTTTTACTCCTCTCTTGAATGGGTGGCATCAGTAACAGCTCTTGTTATTGTGTTGTTTGTCTGATACATCCGTCAGGGCCTGGACCCTTTTCCCCGGCTCTGTGGTCATTATTGGTGACAGACTGCGATATCCTTTGGCTGTGAGGATCGGTGACAGTCTCACTATGTCAGGAGGGGAATTTAATAGAATTGTTACGCTATATTAGTTGTTGAAAATAATATTGATAATGCCTTGATCATTTTGCTTTGATTACTTAATACAACAACAAAGTGGCAGGAGCCTTTAGCTGTGGAAGAGATTTCTATCTGTGGCAGCATACCACCATCTACTGGTCACACTGCAAACATTGACTGTGTGGCAATTTATTTTCAGTGAAAGTCGTCTGAGCAGTTGTGCTCTTGGTTCATTTAGAGCTGAGTGGTACAAATGCAGGGTTTTCCAAATGAGAAGCTGTGACTTGTTTGAAGGCTCTTTGACAGTGAGTGCTATGCATTCACTGTTTATATATCCACGCCCGTGTTTGCCTACTTGACCTGGAAACAATTTAGAAAGTATAAGAGATGGGAGGCAGATTTTGCTTCATCTTTCTCTCTTACATGCAGGTTACTGCCTTGTATAATAACCACACCGCCCTATCTGCCAGAATGAGAGGTTATCCGTGGTCACCTTCTGAAAAATCTTTGATCATACAGTCTTTCTGCAGTGAGGTTTCCTGGCAATGCAACCAGATCTGAATAGCATCGTGTATGATCTTTGAAGCTGCAGCATTAGTGAAGGTGAGAGCACAGCCAGGAACCTGGGGAAGGTGATGATGCATGAGAGAGAGAGAGAGAGAGCGAGAGAGAGCTCTGTCAGTCTTATCAGTCCTCGTCTTCGGTTCATTTCAACATGTATAAGGTATAGTTTTCAACTTCACCACAAGAGGGTAGCATATTCTTGTGAAACCTGTCACAGACATCCAGAATATGTATATGATATATGACTGAGATGAATTGTGTGTTGGTAAAGACGAGACCCTGAGAGCCTCATATTCACTGTGTCAGTTGGTTTGTGAGAGCTGAATTCATTATTATTACCGCTTCTGCTGTCATACAGAGGAGCCTGGTGTTAGAATTGGCATATTTTGTGCATGTTCCTAAATGTACTGTTGATTATTAAATTACCACTAAAAGGGAGTCAATAGAGGCCCACAGCTAATTGTTGTCAATGGGACGCTCTAGTGGAGTATATATATATATATATATATATATATAAATATGTGAATCATATGCTCACAGCCCTTAGCGGAGGTATAGCAGCCTTGATAACTGGGCCTGGAAGAGTGCATTTTTGGTGGAGAACAGCGGAGTGATGCGGAGGTGTTTTCACCCGGCTTTGGTCACCAGTTCTCAACCCAATTCAACACCTATGTGAGATTTGACAACCTTTTGTGTTTGTTAAATGTTATGAAGCAAACTTGCAACCCTTGAGAGATAACTAACTAGCTATATTCTGGTGCAATTCTTTAAAATCCTTTTTGTTTTGGTTTCTTGGGGTCGTGGAACACAATCACATATTATCACCTCATCAGGTTGACATGGAGAGCTTGTAAACAAGCAGTTGCCCATTTACACATTGAGCAGACACAGAGCAGCCTTGGCATTAACTTGATTTGTGTCTCTGATGAATGTAAGTCCAATACTCTACTCTCTACTTTGGGGAAATATGTGGCTCTTTAGCTGCTAAATGCTCCACTATGTTCACCAGCTAGTAGCTAACTTTGTTTACGCTGTTTGGTGCTCAGGTATTGTACAGTGGCTCTATCAGACCTTTTCACTGTCACTGCGACCGACCCTTTTTCATATTTCAAATGGTCATTTAATTCATTATTAATATGAAAATATGAATAAGACCAAAATATGAACATCAACATTAAACTGACACAAGAAACCAGGCAAGTACTGAGGTGTTTAATAAATAACAGCATGAACAACACAACAATAACAACAACATTAAAAGCTTGAATTCATTTTGTATATATACACATACTGTATACAGTATATTTTCATATTTGACTGTATAAACTATAAATATGACATGCAGTCCTCATAACTTAAAACAACCAGGACTTCTCAGACTGAGGTAGGGTCAGGGGCCAGAGGGTTGGATAAATGAAGCTGTTTCTCTCTGTGTGTGTGTGTGTGTGTGTGTGTGTGTGTGTGTGTGTGTGTGTGT